CACTGGACAATAACAAGTGTAGACAAGGGTGTGCAGAGCTGAAACCTGCATGCGTTGCTGGTAGGAATGGCAAATGATGCAGTTGCTTTAGAAAAACATCTTCTCAAAATGGTACTCATAGAATTAGTATATGACCCAGCAGTTCCACCCCTAGGTAGCTACTTAAGAAAAGTGAAAACATATATCCACACAAAAACTTGCTCGTGAATGTTCATAGCACCATTATTCATAATAACAACAAAATGGAAACAATTCAAAATGCCCATGAGCTGGTGGACGGAGAAACAAAATGTGGTATTTCCATTCAATAGAATGCTATTGGACAATAAAAAAAGATAGAATTATTGAAACATCTACAGCAGGGGTGAACCTCAAAAACATTATGCTAAATGAAAGAAGCTCGACTCAAACAGCCACATGTTATATGATGCTGCTTATGTGAAATGTGCAGAATAGACAAGTCTATAAAGACCTAAAATAGATTCATGAGTGCCTAGGGCTGGTGGGGGCAGGGTGTTGGTTTGGGGGAAATAAGGAGGGACTGTGGATGGGCAATGTTCTAACATTAGATTGGGGTGACGGTGGCCCAACTCTGTACATATAATAAAATACACTGAATTGCATGCTTAAAATGGGCGAATTTTGTGGTATGTAAATTACATCTCAATAAGGCTGTTTAAAAAAGAGGAGGGAAATAATGGTGTCTCTTCTGCAAGGTTGTTGAGGGGATTGAGTGAGAAATTGTGTGTATGGGACCCAAGAGCATGGACCACAGTAGGTTCTCGTAGCAGATGAAGGGGATGCCGTCATTGGCCCTCCCCCTCACGACTCCACAGCGCACAGGCCCCACTTCAGCTGCTGCCCCTCCAGGATTTACCTGGGGGCTCTCTCAGGCCCTATCTGCATTCATATCCGCATCTGTACCTGCATCCGTAGCAGGCCTGAAGTGCTGGGAAGTTCACACCCCTCCCCAGCAGGACACACTTAATGATGGGTGGGAGTTGGGGCACCAGCTCCCAGAATTTCCCCACTGGGACTGAGCCCCGGCTGCTTGCTGCTACCTCCCCTTTTCGAGCTTGCCTCTCCACTCCCCTACTGGTATTTCCTGGGATCACCTCCCCAGTAAACAACGAGTTCTTTGAATCTTTGTAATGGATCAGCTTTTAGGGACAACTCACGCAAGGCAGTGCTGTCAAGCACTGGCTGTGCTCATGGTCCCAGTGGGGCTGATCCAGTCTCCTGACACAGCGGGCCCATCTCCATGTGCTCCCTTGCACTGTACAACCCTGGGCTCTCTACATTGAGGAGGGAGGACTTGCCCTGAAAGGAGCTGAGGCCCAGGGAAGGAAAGAGGGGGACCCGAGGATCCCCCAGGTGATGATAAGAGCTAGGTGGGCTGAAGAGTACTTGGTGCCTGGCACTGCGTGCAGAACACTGCCAGGGTATCACTTCATCCTCACAGCAGCTCCGTGCTTCATTTGACTGAGTTGAAAACTGGGATCAGAGTGGTGAAGGGACTTGCCCAAGGTCACACAGCAATTAAGTTGTGATGTCTGAATTTGTACCAGGGCCTGAGCTCTTGGACCCTGCACTACCCTGGCTGTCTCAGAGCCCTGCTGAGCAACTGACCCAACTCCTTTTCATGTAGACTTATGAGGACTCTGTCTGGGGGAGGCTTTTATTTGCTGTGCATGCTACCACACTGGCCCCAAGCCCAGCTATAAGGACAGCATTCAGGTGTGTCTTTGGTTGGGCGGTTTTTACACATCTCTCAGGAGAGAGCTGGGGGGCTGGATGGGGAACAAGGATGCTGGTGTGGCCTTCTTTGAGGTTCCACTGACTCATGGACAAGGCAAGCCTCTTAATCTGTTTCCTGGCCCATAAACCAAGTTTGTGTAGTACACTTTTGGATTTGCAAGGGGCTGAAAGGGCTGCTGTGGAGGCAGCTCCCGGTGTGGCCCTGGGGAGCCTGGGCTCCTGGGCCCTGGATCTGGGGTCAGGGACCCCTGTGAGAAAGCAGACTTGTACTTGGTCAGGCTGAGTCCCACTGCTGGGGCCAGTTTGCTTTGATCAGCTAGGAGTGGAAGGGGTGGGGTGGAGCTGAGGAGGAGAAAGGTGGAGGGAACTCACTTTTCCTGAGTACCTAACCCAGACCTGCTGCTCCCTCGGGCACTGGGGAGTCACTTAGGCAAGAGCCAGTTCCCTCTCTCGTGGAACCCCCATCACTTGGAGAGCAGGGAGACAAAGAAACTGACAATTACAATCACAGTGCTGTACTAACCGCGGACATTTATGGAGCCCTCCTGCTATGTAGGGACCTCACGGGTGTTATCTCATCCAGTCCTCACCCGGACACCAGGTGCAACCGGCTGCCCCCATTTTACAGGTGAAGCAGCTGAGGCAGGGCAAGCCTCCATCACCTGTTCAGTGACACAGGACTAGAGCTGAAAAGAGCAAGATTTGAACGCGGGCTGTCTGGCTCCAGAGCTGCTGGCCAAGCCTCCCCTTCTACTGCCTCACCAGGGGCTGGGGGCATGGAGGAGCCCAGGGCAGGGAAGGATCTGCTCTGTTGGGAATAGGGTATATGGCGGTCTCCATGCCGACGCCTGGTTGAGACTTTGAAGGATGGGTAGGAGTTGGGTGCAGAAGGTGCAGGGACAGTGTTCTGTTAGAAGGAACAGCCTATGCATGGTAGAGAGGCCTGAGTGAGCTTGATGGGTTTGGGGAGTTACGAGTGGTTTAGTATTGCTGGAGCATAAAACATAGGTAGGGGAGAGGTGAGGTGAGGGCAGAGACCAGGCTCGAGGCACAAAAGGCCTGTCTTGTCCTGCTAAGTCTATAGAATTTTCTATATGATACAGTCCCTACCCTCCAGAGCCTTTCCTGAGCCTGGGAAGATGAGCCACGTTGTCAGAAAATGAAGATGAATTATCTACCACCATGCAGGTACCGCTGTGGGGAGGGTGGAGGAGGGAGGCCTGCCCCGGGTCCAGGAGGGAGGGGCCGTCGGGGAGGCTTCCTAGAGGTGGGGCCATCTTGCTGGGGTTAATAATGGGAAGAAGAGGTGTGTGAACAAATGTGCAGAGGTTGGGAAGAAAGTGCCAGGTGTATTTGGGGGCCATGAGGAGGATAAAGGGATGGGAGTTGTGGGAAGAAAGATGAGCAAAGCATATATGATGTTTAGCCCTGCCCACCAAATGCCCCTTTGGAATCTGACCTGGGTTCAAATTCCGACTTGCTGCTGATGAGCTTTGTGACCTCGGGCAAGTCACTAAACCTCTCTGAGCCCCAGTTTTCTTTTCAGCTGGAAAATGACCAGAAACAAATGATGATAACCTCCTATGGTTCCGATGAGGGATTCACTCACTCTGGGACTATCCCCAAGATCTTTGCCACGTCAGCCAAGCACCTCCACCAGGCGTCAGAAATATTTTAGACATTGTGGGCCATTTGGTCTCTGTTGCAACTACTTACCTTTGCCATTGTAGCAAGAGAGTAGCCATAGATAAAAACGTAAATC